TTTTTTTTTTTTCTTTTTTTTCTTCTTTTACAAGAAAACCTGCAGTGTCCACAGAAATTCATATATGTGTGTATTATCTTCTAACTTATTTGCTTAAAATGTGGCACAAATTATTCTGACACCCTTAACAGTCAACTGGAAAATCTTTCTGAGGTGGTTTCCAAACATTTTGCTCATTAGCTTTTTAGAACTCTGCTGGACTTTATGTTTTTTTGTTTTGTTTTGTTTTGTTTCCAAGTCTAGCTCTGTCACCCAGTCTGGAGTGCAGTGGTGCAATCTCGGCTCACTGCAACCTCCACCTCCCAGGTTCACGTGATTATTCTGCCTCAGCCTCCTGAGTAGCTGGGATTACAGGCGTGCACCACCACGCCCGACTAATTTTTGTATTTTTAGTAGAGACGGGGTTTCACTATGTTGGTCAAGCTGATCTCGAACTCCTGACCTCGTGATCCGCCCACCTCAGCCTCCCAAAGTGCTGGGGTGACAGGTGTGAGCCAGCGCGCCTGGCCAGACTTTGTGTTTTAATGGAGTTGTGTAACTCAAAATATTCTCAGGGTGTGTGTAGCTGTGTGCATGTGTATGTGAGTGCATAATCCAGGCGTGCATTTTTTTTTCCTACATTCATAACCATATACTAAGCTATTTTGTAAATGTTCTGGAGCAGAGCATAGACGATCACAACAAGCTCAAACAGAAACCTCCAGTTTTAGTACTCAGTTCAATTTAGTCTAGTCTTCTTGGTCCCATACAAAAGGGCATTATTGAAAGAGCATTAAAAATTAATACATATTTATAAACTCAAAGAAAAAGGCTTCACAACCTCTCTTCGTAAAGGAGACAGGGGCTTTTGCCCCATGGCTCTGTGCAGAGCATCTCCTTGTTTGCCCCATGGCTCTGCGCAGAGCATCTCCTTGTTCCTCAGGCTGTACACAACAGTGTTCAGTAGGGGAGTGATGACAGTGTAGATCACTGTGATGAGTCTGTCCTGTCCCAGGGAACTCTGGGACTTAGGCTTCAGGTAGATGATGGAGGCACAGCCATAGTGGATGATAACCACTGTGAGGTGGGAGGCGCAGGTGGCAAAGGCCTTCTTCCAACCTTCAGCTGAGGCAATCGTAAGAATGGTGGAGATGATGAGGACATAGGAGACAAAGACCAGGTCCATAGGTAGGACAAGGACACAGACACTGACAACAAAGTTGATGATCTCATTGACAGTGGTGTCTGTGCAGGCCAGCTTCAGCAGGGGTCTCACATCACAGAAGAAGTGGGAGATGACAAAGGTATCACAGAACAGCAGGCCAAACACAGATGTTACTTGGACAATGGCCATGCAAGGTGGCCATTGGACAAAGGCCAATCCCCAGTGACACAGAGGCCAGTTGGATACAGGCCCTTTTACTCATGATGACTGAACACCTTAGGGGGTTGCAGATGGCCACATAGCGGTCATATCCCATGACTGTGAGCAGGAAGCAGTTGTTGATGCCAAAGGTGAGATAGAAGAAGAGCTGAATGGCACAGCTGTGGGTGGCAATGGGCTGGTGAGGATTCATGAGACCAGGAAGCATATAGGGAATGATGGCCACAGTGTAGCAGGTCTCAAAGATGGATAGCATGCTCAGGAAGAAGTACATGGGGTGGGGAGTGTGGAGATGATGGTCCAGGCGAACAATGGTCATGATAATCACATTGCCAGAGAGAGTCAGCAGGTACAAAGTTAGAAAAACAACAAAAAAGACAAGTCTGTACTGCCACCTGAAGCTGGAGAAACCTTCAAAGAGGAACTCAGTCACAAAAGTGGAATTTGGCTTTGGCATCAAGGTAGGTCTAGGTTTGAAAGAGCTGGGCAGAGGAAAGGAAGATGTGATGAGTTAATCATGAGAGTAAGCTGGACCAAGGCTTTCTGTAAAAAGCATGTCCATCCTCTGAGCAATGCCCTAGACCTGTTGTCTACTTGCTCAGAATAATCACCTGTCCTCACCCCCTTCTTTGGAAGCGTAGAAGGGTACCCTAGGACTCTGGGATTGAGAGCAGAGATAGTGATCAGAAGGTGGTAACAAACTGAAAGAGATCTGTAGAAATAACTCCCCGATTCTTTTTTATTATTATTATTATATACCCAGAGGTATATGATCCAGAGGTGTGCTTGCTGGATCATATGGAGGTCAGAGGAACATCCATACTCTTTTCCACAGTGGCTACATCATTTTACGTTCCCACCCACAGTGCACAATTTCTCAACATCCTCTCCAACACTTGTTATCTTTTGATTATAGATTTAAAAAAAATACTAGCCACCCTAACTGTTATGAGGTGATATTGCATTGTGGTTATGATTTGCATTTCCCTGATGGTTAGTGACACTGAACATATTTTCTACACCTGAATTAAAATCAAAATCTAGAAGAGATATTTGCATTCTCATGTTCATTACAGCACCATTCACAATAGCCAAATTGTGGAAACAACCCAGCTGTCCGTTGACAGATGAATGAATAAAGGCAATGTGGTATGTACATAGAATGTAATGTTGTTAAGCCTTTTTTAAAAAAGGAAATCCTGCCCTTTGCAACAACTGGAGGACATTGTGCTAAATGGTATAAGCCAGTCACAGGAGGACAAATATTGCATGATTCCACTTAGATGCGGTATTTAAAATAGTCAAAGTCATAGAAGCAGGGAATAGAATGGTGATTACTGGGGAACAAGAAAGAGGAAGTGGGGACTTGTTGTTCAATTCATGTAAAGTTTCAATTATGCAAGATAATTAGTTCTAGAGAGCTGCTGTACAGCATAATTCTTAAACAATACTGTAATATGCACTTAAAAATTTTTAAGATGGTATATCTCGTGTTACGTGCCTTACCACAAAAAACAAAAAGCAAAGGGACACAAGGAAGTGTTTAAAGGTGATAAATATATTTGTTACCTTAATTATGATGATGATTTCACAGGTGTATGTATATGGCCAAACTCACTAAATTGTACACTTTAAATGTATGTAGTATATTATATATCCATTGTACTTCAATAAAGCTGTTTAAAGAAAGAAAGAAACAACTACCTGGCCATTGAAGGAGTGGGCCTACGTCAAGGAAGAAGCAGGTGCTACATCAAATGTGCCTAGCTCTAGAGTTCCTTCTCAACACACTCCTGAATTACTTCCCAAGGATCCAGTGAGGAATAGTGAAGAATAGAAGATGTGAGACTGATTGATATCCTTTTCACACTGTCAGCAGTTTTCTATGCCAAAGGCCCTGTGGGAGTCCTGAGAATGCTTCTCCTCCTCAGAACCCTAGGTCCTGATCTTCACTTATCTAAGCCCTGCATCTAAAATCTTCAGTGACCATCAAAGAGTAGAAAAGGGAACACTTCTACTGATGACTTTTTCTAGAGACCTTGCAATAAATATCACCTAGGATCATAAAAAATGGTTTGATATGGTGTTGCAATATTTAGATTGTCTCCTTGAATTCTAATCAAAGGTAGAAAAGATGGCAAAATGAATCTGAGGGTCATTCTTTAAGTAGGAAATAGATTTTTCTAGTATGAGAGCAAAGATAATATTCATTTAATCAGAGAAAGAGGAAGCATCCTATTTTTTTACTTCAATTTTGCATATTCCAAGCTATGTTGTGGATACAAATAAGCTGATCCACCTTCCTTTTGTCTTACCTCAAGTAGACCCAACATGAGAGATTGTACTGGTGCAGATGAACCTTGCTCCTTATACCCACATCTACTCCTGATAAATTCTCACCATGTTTAACCATTATCTCCATTCAGAAAGCTGAGGACTGTCCTGACTACCACCCTTCCCTTTTCCACACAAAGATAGTGCCTCCTGGAATTCTCTCTTCCTGTCCCCTCCTCTTCATGCTTTCTACCAATGCCCAACTACTGACTGCCATCACCTTCCTCTATGATCACCACAAGGCCTCCTAACAAATCTGTCTTCTTTTGGTTGATCTTAGTCTAAGTCTTCCTCCTGGATGTTACCATTAACTTTTTTCAAAAACCTGTTCATGGAGCTCTCCTGCATAAATTCCTCAATAGCTCCTCGGAATCTTAACCATAATATTTAACTCATTTGTAAGTTGAGTATGTTAATATTTCATAGAATTGCCATGAAAATTAAATGGGTTACTTGTATGAAGAGTTTGACCTAGCATTTGACATATAGGAAACCCTCAATAAATGCTAGTGTTATCAGAAGTTACAGTTATTTCTTTTTCATTTTTCCCAAATTAGCAAGTTTAAATTTCTAAGAGGATCAGGGGTAGGGGTGGAGGGGCTTCAATCTAGTATTTCTGGATTTGTAAACAAGTATGCAATTATCCTAACGTTAACTTTGTAAGTGTTGTAACTTCCCTTGCAGTTGTTCAAGTGGACTTTTTAAATGCTCTTTTAAAATCTTTCTTGAAGTGCATTGACCAAATCCATGCACTGCTCCATGTATTATACTAACACAGGTGTGGATTAAGTTGAGTATCATTTTCGGTTTTGCCTCTAATCCTCTAATCCCTTTCCTGAAGATGCTCAATATTTTACTTCTCCCTTGGGTCATAGTCGCTCATCCAACTAATATATCTTGAAACAATCTGCAGTGACATCTAGATCCCTTGCCTGGGTTATAATTGATAGTGTGGAGCCCATTGTTGTAAGACCACAGTTTCCTTTACACATGCATACATTAAAATTAATTCACATTATTTTCATAATGTAATTTTATTTTATTAACCAGAAGATCTTATTCAGGTCTGTGGCCTTGAATATTTGCCTCCCTCTCTTCCAGATAGTTATTTAAACTGCTAACACTCCCCCAAAAATGTTATCCCAGTTCCATCTAAAAGAATAATCAGTAAAGGGATGCAGAGTGGAATGGGGAAATTTAAAATATAGGCAAGGATAGGATTACTCATCTAAAGTCTAGGAAGTATAGGTGAGGAGGGAAAAATGCGAGATAAAAAAGTGGAGAGGGTACAGATAGACAGAAACCTCAAAATTCAGGTAATGTCTTTGACTTTGGAGTTTGTATTGCCTTTCCTTGCTTTCAAATAAATTACAAAAAATGTGAAACAGGCCTGTTCCTGGCCCAATCCTAGATGAGCGTAGTGTTTACAATTTTTCCCTGAAGAAGAAAACTTACTTATCCTCTTGTTTCCTAAATCTTTAAAAATCTGCTGTGCATTTTCATTTTATCCATGGACCGAAACATCACATGTGCCCTGTAAATATGTACAACTATTATGTATAAATTTTTAAAACGAAATAAGCCAGGCACAGAAAGAAAAATATCATATGTTCTCACTTACATGTGAGAGCTTAAAACGTTGATCTCAGGGAGGTAGAGAGGAGAATGATGGTTACAAGAGGCTGGAAATGGTGAGGTTGTGGATGAAGAGAGGCTGGTTAACAGGTACAAACATATGGTTACAAGGAATCCATTCTGGTGCTCGATAGTACAGGAGGTAACTAGAATTTATTTTATATTTCAAAATTTCTAAAAGAGAAGATGTGAAGTGTTCCCACCACAAAGAAATAATAAATGTTTGAGATGATGGATATTCTAATTACTTCAATTTTATCATTACACGTTGTATTAGTGTATCGAAAATCACATGCACCACATAAATATGCAGAATTATATATTAATAAAGCAACCTTTGAAATCTAAAACAAAAAGTCTCCTGTGCATTTCAATTTGCTTAAACTACAGTTGTGCTTGATTTTACCAACAACTTCTTCAAGAGTTCAATGCATTGGGAAGTCACAAAGTATAAGTACTGGCGCTAGTGCTAAGAAAATAAAGATGACCCAATTGGTCTTTTTTCTCCTGGAGCTTAGATTCTTGGACAGCATTAGGTATAGGATCCAATTACAGTCTTCCAAGTACTTTATGGCCCTTTTCTCTACATTAGTCTATTCATCTACATTTCCAACTTCTTAGAAATCACATTCTTTCTTATGAGAGCCCATGTTCCCCCTTCCATAGACTATCACTGGCTATGCAATAACAGTATATACTATCAGAAACATTCCCCATCCCAGCAGTTAAGGAAGTGAAACTCATCAAGTAGCATGTTTTTTGAGTCTTCTAGGGAGTTGTGCTTATGCCTGAATTATATCCACCACTCTGGAAATTTGACTGCCTACAATCATGTATTATAGATTTTTTTTCTTTCTTTCTTTTTTTTTTTTTTTTTTACTGATAATTATACAATGTTTCCCAGATTTTTGTCAATGCCTTTTCTAAGATTATTTAAAACACATCAGTTATTTAACTAACAATCACTTTATGGAACTAAGGTATTTTACTGAAGAGCCTGTGAATTTCCTTAACAGAGGGTCACTAATGTCATACTGAGCAGAGCTATAGTTTTTCCCCCTTTTCTGGCTAATCTTTAGATAGTACCAAGAATGTGATAACTAAAGGAGCTATTTAGAGAGGAAGGAAATAATGCCTATCTCAGTCTTCCTGTGTCTGACACCAGAAGTGAAGCCACACTAAGTTTCCCTAGATTCTCACATGTCCGTCCACTGGAAGGATTTCAACTTTGGGTCACAAAGCATTAACTTTGGCTTAGGTGTTTTTTAATAAGGTACAAATTGTCTGTCCCCAGTACTAGCTGTCTCTGTCTCCAAAACAACACTTACTACTCCCAAGTGATAATGGCAGAAGACACAATCCAAACAGCAGAGCATCTGGAGACCTCATTACTAATGCAGCTCGTTTCCTAATCCTGAGAATAACACTTTGGAGAACAGAGTTGGCTTGGCTATTACGGACAATCTCTGGGATGAAAAGGCTTATTTCCCTTATTAGCGTGGGTAATAGTCCT